CTTGATTTATGAACGAAAATCTCGAGTAAACGCCCGTTTCCGCGCTCCGCCGGGCGTGAAATGACTTTGGGCGAGTTCTGCCGCGAGCGATTCGTCCTCGTCGCGACAGCGAGCCGGCCGGGCGTGCAGTTCCGGTACCGAGACACCGGAAGCGCCGGCTCATACACCAAGCACTCGCGTCTACTTCATTTTGGCGCGTGCTCGCGTGACTCTAACTATCAAAATAGCTATCAAAACGATCCTATTTGTTCCTTCGTCAAAATTGAAAAACATGTTTTGTCTGTAAACGCGATACTCGATTGGACATTGATGGAGAGTTTGGTAGTAATCGTACGGTAGACTGGTAACTGATTTCTGTCGTAATCAGTGGAATCAAGGATTTTAGTGAGTGCGGCCAATGACTCTGGAAATTAAAGATTGCCTGCGAGTCAGGAATGTCGAAAATTACGGTCACGCTCAGACCAGAAATCCTTCGGACAGATCTTTTAAAAGCCTTGCCACTTGTACCGCTTCTTTGCTTCGTCATTGATCAATCGCTTTTCGAGCAGAGATTTTCGATGGTAAATGATACTTTTTCCAATTTTTCATTCCAATTTTCACGGCAATTTTGCTGGATGCCTGTAGAACTTTACCATTTGTATTCACGATTGTATTCTTCGACGTTGCAACGTGGTAAAGATAACTGCGAACCATTTACCGAGGTCGAAGGTTGTCTTATAAATCGAGCTTTTACTGCGGATCGTGTCAGCGCAGACGAAATGTCTTTTATTCTTCCGATAGGTTCTCCCCTTTGCTTGTCGCTTCATTTTTACAGCAAAAACCAGACAGAAGCAGATCGAATGTAAATTGAAGCTGAAAGCATCATCGTTCGCACTCTTCCCTCGGAAAATCTATCTTTGAGAAATTCAAGTTTAAATATTTAAATTCAAATATTCAAATTTAAAACAATTTCCAGCAATACATAAGTTCTTATCGTGTCTTTAATAATTTTGTTAAAAATATTAAATTTCACGCAGGACTGAAATATATCCAATTCATATATGTTATTTATTGCCAGTTAAATGTTTATGCATATTTATATTTTTATAATAACTAAAGAAATATTCAAATATTCAAATTTAAAACAATTTCCAACAATACATAAGTTCTTATCGTCTCTTTAATAATTTTATTAAAAACATTAAATTTCACGCAGGACTGAAATATATCCAATTCATATATGTTATTTATTGCCAGTTAAATGTTTATGCATATTTATATTTTTATAATAACTAAAGAAATATTCAAATATTCAAATTTAAAACAATTTCCAACAATATATAAGTTCTTATCGTGTCTTTAATAATTTTATTGAAAAACATTAAATTTCACGCAGGACTGAAATATATCCAATTCATATATATTATTTATTACTAGTTAAATGTTTATGCATATTTTTATAATAACTAAAGAAATGGAGTAGAAATTTATTTCACTCTCGAAATCTTATGAAGATTATATTTTACACAGTTTGTGTGTACAATTGTTTGTCACTTGCTTTTGTAACTCTAAATTTCTTATAAACGCATAAACAATCTGGTTGTCATAATTGTAATCGATTCTGGTTTATATGAACTTAATTTTCTTAGATTATTGGTCAAAGTGATATTAATGTGACTGTGAAGCCAATCTTCAATGTGGAAAGAGAAATAAAAAAAAATTGTCTTTTATCTATCTCCCTCGGAATTTTTGCTAATTAATCGCGGTATAAACTACGGCCTTGGTAGTAATCGTTCTCGAAAGATATGTCAGTGCGTTCATCTTAGCAAGAAGATGTTACTTTTGTAGATTGACTGCAGCTCCTTCACCCCTTGGAGATTCGAGATCCATCAAATCGTTTTTTTTTTTTTATGCATTTATCGCCAAGAGACATTCATTTTCAATCAAAAGTTATTGCCGAGAATAAACCCATCGATGACCTTAGCCAGATTAACTCGTCTGCGTGGGTCTTCTGTTTTTTGATAGTCGAATACACGTGAAGTGACCAATGTGATAACCCAATTAATAACGATAACGTAATTTGTGCGATTTTTTTTTTTACAGTAGTGTGTGTGTGCAGCTTCTTTTTTTTTAATGATAGTTTCATTTGTAAACACGGTAAAAATAGTTCCTCGTCAACGCTATTGTATTATGTCTAATTAAGAGAAACGAAACGGAAATCTCAGTGACAATTCTATTGTCGAACACACGTGATATATGATACATATTAATTGCCCAGTATGTATTTATTTCATACAATGAAATTTTCACCCCCGATCGTTTCTCGGTCTCGAGTTGCTGTTTATAAGACGAATTTATCAGAAGCTTTCATTTATCGGGACAGAGAGTCGGGTCAGACTGTTGGCGGAGACACGAGCCAGACGCACACGCGGCACTACGTGCAGCTGTGCGCGAAATTGATGCCGTGCCGTTCGCTCATTTGCAATTTCTACGCAAAGAGACACGCTAGTTGTTACCGGACTACGCGATCAAACATTCTGCCTGCAGAAAAAACAGTGAACTGATAAACTGTCGACCGATAGTCACCGCGAATCTAGCACCGGGTAAATAAACCAACGTGCATGTCTTGTTTGTCACGTTGCAGAATTTCCTTGCTGAATCGAGTATCAACACAGTTTATGACGGTAATTTGTTTCTTTCAAAGTTTCTGTGATGCGCGCTTGCATGCTCAACTTTGAATACGATAAAATAACGATAAGACGATAGGTATATTTGGATACAGATAATTTCGAATAATTCTCTGGAGAAGAATTACACTTTGGAAAACAAGGTTTGTGCTTAATGCGCAAATCGTTCGTAAAAGTTTGTAAATAATACGATAAGTTATATAACAAACAATTAAGAGATTAGTCGTTGAAATGAATGTTTTAAACGCATTGTAATATGTACGTGCCACTTGGGTAATTAATATTAGCATGCTCGGTGCAGAATGAACAACAGGTGGTTAAAATTGATGCCATTTAGTCGCATTACGAATTAATGACTGAACTAATTGACATCTTGGTCTGTACACGATTTCTATCTATAAGCAGTAGAATGAAATAGAAGCTCATATCGGTGACGATGAAAAGAAAATTTTCTTTCTGCCCTCTCAAAGTTCAAAGGTTCGACCGATAATAACGTACACTCCTCCAACATCGCTTAACTGATAAGAAATCTGCCTTGCTTATTTATATTTGAAATAACCATGTGTCTTCGATAATTTCCTGTGTTATCGCGCTTCCTTTTATACGATCGCTATTCGAGTTCGTCTAGTTACGTTACTAATGATTTAAGTTTAAAATTGTCTACTAAAAATGTTTGCTTTACTAAAAACAGAAACTTAAAAAATCAGCAACATAAAAGAATATAATACAGAAGAAAATAGAACGAAAACTTAAAAAATCAACAACATAAAAGAATATAAAACAGAAGAAAATAGAAGAATTACTCTAATTTTTTTATTGTATCCTCTATCTTTTGAATATCTTCAATAAGAACATGATTAGTACGGTGATTGAGTATATGATTTAATCTGTACGGAAAGTATTTATATTTACATTATATGAAATTATTATATTTTTGTGTCACAGCTTTATCAATCAATGGTACATAGATTCCTAAATTATCGACTAAATTTTTTTAACTTTTATAGCGCCATCTTTTAAAGACGATTGAAAGCATTTCAAGTACAAATATATACATATATATATATATATATATATATATATATATATATATATATATATACATACTTTCGATTTCTAGTAAATCGATTACTCGATGACATCACTGTATCGATAGTCATTATTTAATGATCTCTATAAATCAATTAAATTTTCATTTCTGAAAAAATTTAATTCAGAGGATTAGTTTGTGAACTTTTTGTAACAGCATTCTTTTAATTGAACTTCCAATTTTTTTAATCCGTTTAAATTTCGAGATGTACTTTTGAAGGTGTGTAAGTTTTATACACAAAGTACATAAGTATACAGAATGTTTTAGGATGGGTAGTATAACCGAGCAGAAGATAATTCTACGTTCGTCTTCGACAAAATCGAGTTTGAAAGTTTATTAATATTATACTTCAATTTAGCTAGATATGACAGAAAAGAATGATTAACAAAAAGCTATTCTACAGGAGGTGCGAAAATAAATAAAGAATATAGAATAAAACTTGTTTGTAAGATGCTTTGTTTTCATCGAATTTGAAAATTTATGAGATAGGTATACGTGTATTAAGGCAATTTTCAACGAAGCATATTTAAAATCTATTTTTTTGAAAATTACATCTTGAACGAAAAAATTTTATTCTACAATTTTATTCTATATTTTATCACACAGAATGGTCTCGTGTCAAATTCAAGTATGCTTGATAAATTTTCAGATTCGATTTTCTAACGAAAAAATTTTATTCTTTCTTTTCGACTCATTTTTTTTACGCCTTTCACTCAGTTTCTACTTGATTGTATCACCCTGAGATATCTTGCATACTTTGTTAAGTTATTTACATTTACGTTAAAGAAATATATTTTAAAAATATATATTTATAAATTAGCTTATAAAAATATCATATCATCACATTATTTCGATAAGTAATATAGATTACTAGTTGCATAAATATTGAAAAATTTAAACATTTTTCTAATTTGTATATTATTAAACGGTTTCAATAAACATAAAATTAAACAGTTATTAATTGTTTAGTCATTTAACAATCTCTTCAACGATCCTAGAATAATTAATACTAAAAGGAATTTTAATATAATTTTAATATAAAGTTTTAAAGTAAGTTGTTTGCAAAATAATCCTGTACACAAATAAATTAATTTTGAATTAATCACTCTCTGCGATCAAGTTAAATATGATTCTTATATTTGCCGTTGTAAATTGAAGAGGGCGCAAGAAACACTTTGATTTTTTCCAGGTTGGTATTTCACAATCTGAGACACAAAGTTCCATTTTATGTCATGTCTATCTTGTCTTTAATCGATGATTGTAGATAATATTTGAATGTAATGTCAATTTTTGTAGCAGACGAAAAACATAACCTTTCATTTCAGGATATTTAATTGTTATTAATGGTCCAAATGAAATAGAATAAAGCTTATCTATTATTGTATGCATAATGGCGAATGACAGGGAGGTATTGAGAGAAATTTGGGACGGTAAAATTCCTGTCTGTTTCACGCTTGATTCTGAAGAAATATGTGAATTACAAGGACCTGACCCATTTTATCTGATGGTACCTAGGTTAAGTTATTTTCCACTCTGCACAGATAAGGTAAACAATATAAATAAAATATTATCAGTATGTACATGTTTTCATTTTATAAGTTCTTTTTCGATTAGATACGAAAACATTTTATAAGACATATACAGAGTGATAGTAAGCAAGAGCATGAGATGTGGTTAGAATTTAATGGTATTCCCCTAAAGTGGCACTACCCAATTGGTGTCCTTTTGGATATTTATTCTAATGACGTGGAATTACCATGGAATATCGTCGTTCATTTTGATAGGTTTCCAGAAAATGTATTGATGCACTGTCAAAATAAGTGAGTATCGTAGAATATAATTCGATATTTGTTTTTAATAAAATATTTGGTTTGACTGAATTTAAATTTTAGAGAAGTAGTGGAAGCATACTTTCTTTCTTGTATAAAGGAAGCAGATGTATTAAAGCACAGAGGTCAGGTTGTGTCTAGTATGCAAAAGAAAGATCACAATCAATTGTGGTCTGGTTTATTGAATGACAAGTTTGATCAATTCTGGTCTGTGAATCGCAAACTTATGGAGGCTAGTAATATTGAAGAAGGTTTTAAATATATACCATTTCGATGTTACACAAGTGAAGACAAGTACGTACAAAAACTTGTAAAACCTATAAATGAAGAAGGCCAAAGAAAAACATTGAGGCATTTATTGAATGAAGTATTTCCAGATAATGAAAATGGTAAATATTTCTTTCACTTGTGAATATTTTGTATGCTACATATTGTTTTTTTATATAGTTACAGTGTTCACCCATGGTATTACCCCACCTTTGGAAACACCCCTTCAGTGGATGTCAGAACATTTGAGTTACCCTGACAACTTTTTACATTTAATTATGACATAACCCACAACGAATTGACTGAGCATCAATGAAAATTTCATAAACCGTGAGTTTAGTGTTATTTTCTCTCGCCAATATCATTGGCATTCTACTTATGATCCGATTACCATGGATCTTTTTAATTTTTACATACTTCATATTTATTTTATACGAGGTCGTTTAATAATGATGTTCTAATTTTTCTTGAACATACAAAATTACAACTGCTGCTTATATTGTTATAATGCACGAACGTATGCAAACTTGGTCGGAATTGCAATATGTAGACCTGTGCTCAGGTCAAGTCGATATTGGACCATGTTTATTATAGATCAATCAAAGTATAATTCAATCAACAATAATGTATTCGAAGATATATTGTATATTGTAAAAATATGATTATATAAATATTTAAAGAATCATTTATGTATATAAACTACTACTTGATATCACAAAAATAATGTGAATATTTATGTGAAATCGATTATTTAAAAGGAAAAAAAAGAAAGGAGTGAAGGAAAAAAGATATTGAAGATATCAAAGTATAAGATAAAAATATGATTATTTAATTTGCAATCATAACCAGCCATAGTTGAATTATAAATTAATTTATCGCACAGCTATCTCGTGGTTTTTGATATATTCTTAATATTTGCGAGGATATGGTACTATTATTACGCGTTACCAAAGAACCGGCTGGTCTCCGCACAATAACAGGATGATTTCCGTAGCTGCTGTACTCCATGGTTCTGCGACTCGTTCCAAAAGTCAAATAATTTACAGCTTCCTCTTTATTTTCTTGCTCCTGAAACGTAGAGATTTATGAGGCATTAAAACAATTACAATATAATATACATAACCGTATAAAACGTGTTCTTATAATACAATTTATGTTATCTATTTATATTATCTAAAATGTTCTTAAGTTCAAACAGGAGATTAATAAAATGTTATGTTATTTCTATATTTAATTGAAATTGCAATATAATAGATTTATGTGTATGTAAATAAATAATTACCTTAAATATGGTCAGAGCTGTGTCTTGATATCTCTTGTGAATCTCTTCTTTGGTCAGTGTGATCTTTACTTCGGGCGATTCATAGCGCTCCGTCATTTACGATTTATATTCTTTACAATATTTTTTGATGAACTTCAAATATAGGAAATCTGTAACACAATTTATAAATTAAAGTAGGATCATATCGATCACCATAAAAAATTCTTTGTTTAATGAACTAGCAAGAACATTGATCAAGAAAGACTCGTATTCTTCGTATCTTGAGAGTGAATGTCTTCCAAAAAAGAATGAAATAAAACATGGAGAAAAAAGACATTTTCTGAGAAGAACGAGGACAAGCAGGAGAAACGATGGAGAGAAGGCACACGTTTCATCTAGGACAGAATAAAAATAAACTTTGTTTGGACTTTCACGACACACCAAACGTTGTCTTTCCATTCTTTTCAGAATTAATATTAATATTCTTTTCTTTTTCATTTCTTTTTTTTTTTTTTTTTTAATTCATGATGCGATGTCGTTTTTCCTTGAAAAAGACTTTGTTGTTTCTCTTTCTTCTTCGACATTAAATTATTGTTTAATCAAAATGATAATGATTGCAATGTTGTAGTATTATCGTTTCTTTTTTTAGCATTTGCCTTGACAGATAACTCTACTACAATTCTAATCAAATTTAAGAACATGCAATCTGTATACCGCTAATATGGAATGTCCAGCTTTTTCGAACAACTTTGTTGAATGAAAGATGGTTGATAAAATACGGTCCAAACTGGTTTTTAAGATTGCTGGAAATTCACTGTCTGATGCAGTACCGGCGGACGGACAAGAAGTACACGGTAAGAATAATCAACGAAACTTGAGACATTGTCGCCACGCTGCTGATCTTTAACTTGCAAACAGAGAAGACATGTCTATTGGAACGAAGCCAGAAACTTTTTGGTATCCCTTTCGAATTTCCGGTTGAGGACGCCAGACGCGCGGAATCCTGTTGTAAACTTTTTAGCATTGTAGACAGTGGTTTATTACCTTTGAATACGAAATGATTTAGCAAAAGATGCAACGCTATGCAGTCTCGCAACATTCTGAAGAGAAATTAGCTTGGCATAACTGTAATTTTAATTCAAGGAGATCAATTTGGGAGTATATATCGAAGTACAGATGTAACATTGATATGAATTTTGGTTTGCATATGTAACTGTAGTCTTCCTAATTGCATTGCACCAGTCGGTGACATTTATTGGCGTTGATTGAAACGTTGCATCAGTCATACTTTGATTCAAGGTCTGCTTTGCGCGCACGCGGTGGCCTCAATAAAAACGAATTGCGATTTAATATAGAGAACTTTCGATAAATATCGTTTATTCTTTAATACAGTTGAAATTGAATCGACTAGAATGAATATAACTTACAGAGTTATCGTGGTTTTCATTTTCTTCCAATTTGCAACTCCAATTACATCAATTGACTCTGAATTAATTACGTACCGAAAGAATATGGCCTGCAATATGAAAATGATAAGATATTTGATAATCTTTCGAAGAAATACTGATATCGAAGAAGTATCGATAAATCAGAGCAACTGTATTGCCACTGTCGATAATGAAATTCTCTATATTTGATACGATTGATGTTAAGTTTTTCATAAATTTGCAAACAAATTTAACTTTTTTGGTCAACATTATTTGATATATTATAATTTTGGCTATAATTCTGACACTAGTTTCCGGTCGACATGAAAGTTTAAGAGAATCGAGTGGAAGAACCTAAAATGTAAAATTTTAATTTCGAACATTTATTAATTATCGAGATATTCATAAAAAATATTTTTATAATATTCATGTCAAATATTTCTGGTACAATACTTATTGAATTCTGATTATACAGACATTGTTAATTACTGTTTGCTGCATAGTTTGCTGTCAAATAGCCAATGACATATAGCGACATCAGCTCAGTATCTACAATCAGTATTTACAATGAGTATAATTAAACTTCGTTTCCGGGTACCAAGAATTACGGTTAGGTTTGCATTATAATCTTTTTCCACGATGTTATTATAGATAATCGAGTTTAGGCGAGACACCCTATAAATACTGATTCTGTGTCTGATCTTATCAGAAATTCACCGATGAAGACTATCACAACGGGAACAGTTGTATTTGCAATGTCTGTGTATACAAAATGCAATTGTACTGGAAGTTTTTTTTATTAATACTTTCGAAACTAATAAATATCCAAAGATAAAATTTAGTATTTGAAGTTCTTCCTCCCTCTCCTCTCTTCTCTCAAAAATTTCACGTCGGTCGAGAACTGGGACTTTTCGGAACAATGTGCACAACTTTAAATAAACTGTTGCGATTAAGTAGAATCCAACACACATCGAACCAAACTAATCCAATTTAATTATGTATATACTCTGGAAATACGTATTGCGTCATCAAACGCACGTCCAGCTTGCTCGTGTTACACTTCTCTGCCTACAGTCTCTAGATAAGTTCAAAGCAACTGCAATTCATTTTGCTTCTTCAAATTATCGTTTATTAATGGGGATTCCAGATAAGTCGTTGTAATGTAAAAACTTTAGTCAAGTTAGGAGAATGAGAAAATTGCGTTTAGCAATTAAAAAAAAAAAAAAAAAAGGAATTAGGAACATTAAAGATTCTTTACGTCATTTGTCGACACAAGTGCACAGTCAATGAACAGCAATTGCATGGCGTGCAGGCAGGCGTGTGCTGCGTGCCTAGAAAGTTTAGCAAGTACGTGTCCGATCGTCGATCCTCGGATACTACCAATCAACCGTGATAACGGAAACAATGCATCGGTTGCATTGATTGTAGATCACATCGTTATATGAGTGTGCATTCGATGTGACTTTGAGTGCACGAATCATAAAATTGACTTCATCCTTATCTTCGATGACTTCAGTTCTTGTTTAAATGAAGAATTATTTAAAAGTATAGGAGAAATTATTTAAAAGTATAGGAGAAATATGCATCTTAATCATAAATATGCACGCGTAACGCTAGTATTTCAGAATGAATAATGAGAAAATTTCTAAACAAGTGACATTAATATATTGCAAGTTCGTGTCGTAATTATATATTGTAAGTTGAATTTAATGTAACGAAATAAAACATTGCGATTCACGAGTTTCTTTGGCGTATAAAACGTGTCATTAGATAAGATTATCATCTTCGCTAAGAAAGAAAAGAAAAACATACTTGTTTGAACAATAATGAGTGATAATGATTTACATTTTTTTTTTTTACGAGCTTTTAATTAGAACATTAAGCTACTTAAAATATATTCTTTAATGTGCATAAATTATTTGATACTTATCAAAATGTTGAAATTATCTGTTATTTCTAATTATAATAATCTTTACTTCCATACAATTGTGCAATAAATAATGTAATAAAATCAGATCAGAAACTATATCGCTGTCTCAAAGTCAAGTTGCAAATCCATGTATCTTTGTTCGATTCTATCAATTTTCTTCAAATTACCAGTTATCCGGTTTACTCATGACGTTCAGTCTGTCATGCATGTAAGCGTCTCTGAGAAATTCCATATAATCAAGTATGTTTTCATCGGGTAATCTTTGTTTGAAACTTCAAAAATAAAAGAAAATCGTCCAGTAGTATTTTTGATAATGAATGGAATATGCATATATTGTGCAGTAAATGTTAAAAGAAAAGGATGTTATAATTACTCCAGAATGGGAATAATAAATGCGGAGATTTCTTTTAAAATAATCTCTTATATTTTCTCTCAAATTTTCATAATCTACGCGTGTGTATATAATACAATTTTTTATATAATGATTTTTATTTTCTCGAGGATACAAAAAGACGATAAACGACAAATTGATGATGCCTGTCTCACCGTACATTAGGATCGGTTTCAATCATTCTCTCTCTATCTCTCGCTCTCTCTCTCTCTCTCTCTTTCTCTCCGAATAAATTCAGTCTCTTCCTCTCACGCTATCTCACGTTATTCTCGATGAATCACAATAACGGATATGGTTGATAATCGGTCAAATTTTGCCGACAAATTGAGAAAAACGCGGACAGATTATATACGGAGTATCGTTACTTTCGCCGTTGTTTAACGCTACTCGCCGACGAATCTCAGTTGTACAAAAGAGAGAAAAAAAAATAGATAAGCCCCATAGATATCGGCGATTCTACGATTATCACACTTTGAGCTGCCTCTCTCGACGAGGGAACCCGATTTGTTGATTTCTAGCTCTCGATCAACCCTCAGAACGAGTTCACGTTCGACTGACGCAATTTCTCATTTATCATTTGGATGATTTATGATATTTGAATGCAACTTCAATGATAATCAATCAGAATGACTGGAGATGTACAGTGGACGGACTGAAAATATTACATATCAGATGGAAAAAGAAATGAAGAAAAGAATAGTTTATTATCTTGATCGATTTGATTAAGAAAAAAAGCAGACAAGAAGAGAAAGGCTGGTTTCGTTTGACGCAATTAAATTAGCGATCAATAAATAAACAAATAAATTTGAATACTGATATTATTACACGTTTGGACAAGTCACCAGTGTTCTCTTTCTGCTGAACGTATCCTTGCCAGGAGCCACACACGGGAACGCTTCCTTCACGTGGCTCGTTCTAAGGACGCGAGACACTTTGGTTCTTGATTCCTTCTCGCGCTAGCGAAGCTGTAAGGCACGAGCGATCTCTCGAAGGCACCGGGCGAGTTTTCAGGCGCTTTGATTGTACATTACATACAACTTTGTAATAAAATATAATAATTATGTATACATATACATATTTATATATATATATATATCTCGTTTTGTCTCTATCGTTTAACATTATAATATAAATTTTTTTACATATGTACGATACAAGTGTGTGTGTGTATGTGTGTATGTGTGGTTTGCCTACACGTAGGTTTGAAACGCGGGGGCTCGCCTACGGAGCTTTCCTCCCTACCATTTCGAACCAACCGTTCATTCTCCTTCGTGTCCCCTTGCTCCTCTCCCCCTGCCCCTCCTCCCCCTCTTCGCTTTCCGTTCACACAGTTTGATGCACTTAAAAAATATTGCTTATACAATGCTTTATGCTTCGTTTAATAGACTCTTGTGGGCTGTGCATACGAAACATACGCGTGCGCACGTTCGAAACGCGCGCCGACACTCACGCAATCTCACGCACGCATTTATTTTTCGCGCTATCGAGCATGTACGAACGCGCTCACTCTGTCTCTCTCTCTCTCTCTCCCGCTCTTTCGTCAGTCGGTTCGACGCTACGTTTATTATGTAAAACGTTGTTATGGCATTATATAATTCATTATGGCTTAAGATTACGCTACATTTTATTGTACATTGCCACCTTGACCCTATCGATGAACGCGGACAAGGTTAATAATACCGTTTCCTCTCCCACCTTGGCAAATCTTCGATTCTCGAGGTCGATTGCTCGTCCAGAAAGATGAATTTCGATAAATCTCGATGGGAAACAAGAGTAGAAAACTAGAGTGATGTAGTTTTTGCTACGCGTTCAGGTAAATATCGTCGAGCTGTGCGTGCTGCGATCCACGAACAGTGCAAGTGCATTTTCACTGGTCGATAATGCACGCGGCTGTCGCAACGCGTGAGATTAGACGCGCTTGGAACGAGCTCGATTGAGCCTGAATATTGAAACATTGACGTAACTGCTCTGTCTGCGATGGTAATTTACAAAATTGCCCTTCTTTGCTGCGACGTGCTCAATCGCCGGATCGCAGAACGTTCGTGGAACGCTATTTTTGGTTTCCTATCCGAGGGAAACTTTCACGGTGGACCGTACTCTATTTTCGCCGATCGTGGCACACGCTTCGCGCGAATTGTATCTCGTTCCAATCGACTCCAATAGATAATGATCGATTATTAGACGCAGAAAACGGAACGAGGCTTCCGAGCTTCTTTTTCCTTAGTGACCGACCGCTGATTCATAAACTTTCTTCATCGCGATAGACTCGACGATTGTTTACACGATAAAAATTGACACGTTTTCGACATTCGGGAATCGAAATAAGCTGGTCGGAGAACGAACATCAGAAACGATATTAAACGTCTGGAATAATTTATAAGAATAATTAAGATAATTCCTCCCGTGCGGCATCCTAAATTATGATCGCGAACGTACTTCTAAATCGATGCTGAAACAGCTTTGAGTCCCTCTGTGATTTTAATTTCTATGTTATACAGTGTAAGGCACGCGGATTTTTACGGAGCGTTCTTATGTGTCCTTTTTGAAAGTCTCTCCTTACGATCAGTCTCACACCGAACTTGGAGAACATACAACAAATGAAATAGCAATAAACATACTTAAAGTAACTTTGCTGCATTATAGATATTTCGAAATTTTGAAATAACTTTAAAAAAGCAACGTCAAATACTTTCATTGCTATTTCGTTCGTTGACAGTACATACTCCAAGTCCGATAGTTTCGATATGTTGAAATTCCCTTTTTATTCTCGCCGATTTCAGAATCAACGTACAAATTTATACAAAATATAGCTCTGATATACGATTAAATCTACATTGTAAGTTTGTTCGAAATTGGATTACGCGTTTGTTCTAGGATCAACAAGAAGAAAGGCACGGATGGTGGCCTCGAAGGCTAGCGTGTGTAACGAAATTCTCGTCAAATCCTCATCTTTCTTCGACGTTTCGTCCCTTTCCTTCCTTCTCGGGTTCGCAAACTCGATACAAAAATATCCACGAATGGCGACACAAGGCGAGACAATCGGGCCAAATTCATCTTAATAAACGCGCACAACACCTTGGAAATTCGAATTTATTCAGCTCGATCCTCCCACAATGGTGTATTTACATTTATTGGTCAATTTGCCAGTTATGTCCTCTCTGACTTCGATGAATTTTGAATATGGATCAACATTTTCTACACACCTTTGTTCTATATATGTCTGAACTTATTTAAAAGAGATACAAAAAATCTGAATTTTGCTAATAATTATGCATCCATGATTGCGTTTGTGTCAGTGCTGGTTGCGAATAATAAAATATCGATTAATTCGAATTAACGTCGGTGATATATATTGGATTTATATAAACAAAAGATAAGAAGTGGGTTTAGATTGGTTCATATTTTGTTATCCGGCCGCCCGCCATAAGGCGATCGACAAACAATGCTGACGCATACGCTGCTATGAACGCGTGATTACGAACAGAATTTATTGTAGCACCGACAGTCTTTTTTGCAAATATCTAAAAGACCAAGTGAATCTGACAGTTATACGTACAGGGAAAATGTCGATTTCGCATATTTAAAAATCCTTCGAATCGGCAAGGACGTAACAACACAATCGGCAATTTCGCCGCAGTTATTTACAGGAAATTTAATCGAAATACGAGATGCCAAAGGGAATAAAAAATCACGTGACTGGTCGAGAGGGGGGAGAGAGTTCCACAGAAAAAAAGAGAGGAAAAATGGAGACAAAACCCTGTCATAATACTTGCGCATCGTGCACGACGCACATGGAAGAAATTGTTTGAGCAATTAAACGATATCTAGAGATCAATTCTAGACTGGACGCGAGAACGAGAGGAGCGACGTCGATTTATGGAAAAGTCCGGTATCGGGATATCGATCGAAGAAGAAAAATCGGTAACTGTTTCTCGCGTTACTCATTACGATCGTGTTTCCTACGAAAGTAATTTACAGCAAAATAAAGGCGGTGCCGTCGCATTGTGTTACGCAACCGGCAAAGCGTCGCGCGAGAAACCACGCTACCGAGTTTTCCTCGTGATCGATATCATGCTCAGACTGACATAATTCCGTAATTATAGCGAATACACTCGACCTCTAAACGGCCTAGCCGATAGCCGTCGAACGAGCTAATCTCGACGATAAAAACCGACGCGGAAAAAACTTTCCCGTGTGTGTATCACTTTACGGTGAATTTTTATCATGAAGTGGGGGCGGAAGAAGGAGGAATGAGAAAACTTTGTGAAGGATAGCAAGAGGAAAAGTCCAAATCCAAAGAAGTTAGAAGAGACTGTATAATCTTCTTCCACATCCCGATTCATCCAATGGTCGATTAAGACTTTATCGCGACGTATGACGTTACACCGACGATCGAGAAAAATGATAAACGCTTACGTGGCATCGCGACGTGTCGTAGATCACGTACCGATCGATCCTGCCTCGGTAAATCCTTTTCAGGGGATATTTGCCGTTCGACGACAACCTAGGAATCAATCTCAACGCCTTTGATGTTGATAAAATATTAATTACAGTTTCATTTTACCGATTTCTGAAGTATCACCGACGACATTTGATTCAATATCGGTTTCTCGAAAAACTGCCTTGTTTGAGATATCGATTCCTTGGGACTAATTTACGAATGAATCGACATTACCAAAAAAAAAATAAAGTAACCGGTCGCTCCTGTTTCGCGTAATCGAGAATTAGACGTGATTTTACCAATTAAGTATAATGAGGACTTGCTGGATATCTAACGAACGCACTCCTGATTTGTGGAAACTCGGTGTACAGACTCGGGTGAGTCCTCCAGGATACTGGTAATCTTAAGCTCAGTTCGAGAGCGTAGTCGTGGCTCCTACCTTCGTTCAAATTACAGATATTTTGGCAGTTATTGTTGTTGTTGTTGTTGTTGTTGTTAACGATGACATTCTGATTACTGACTGGCGACAAGCCTCTTTGAATCGTGTTCTCTTTGTTAGGTTTGCTCACGGGATTGTCCAAATACGGTTTAAATAGAATGGCGTCCTTCAACGTTGGATCCGAAGGAGCAGGTACAGTAGATGCCGGTGGTGTCGGCACGGTGCTCGTTACCGGTTCCGTTCTTGACGGGGAGGTATCGATGAGCCTTTTCGGTTTCACCAGACAGAGTGGCATTTCCTGGGGAGGCACTTCTTGATTGGAATTTATCCTGATCGAGTCGTCAGCTTCCAAGCAGAGCCTCTTCGGTGACGGAAGAGTTTCGTAGCAGCAAGAGAGCGTGCAGTGCTGTCTCTTGAAAGGCGAGGACAATTCCTCCGAGTGTTCGAATACCAAGGTGGTCTCGGAGTACTCCCGGGGAGAATAACAGTACAGCCTGGTCTGCGAGTCGGAGTAGCAAGATCCTCTTAAGGAAGTTTCTTGGTAGCACGATACGACTGGTGTTACGGCGTGGCCGTCCATGCAACAGGCGAGATTGCAAGAAACGGCGGGCTCGCTCTCGGAAGAGCCAGCGGCTGGATGCTGGTAGTACGGAAGATGTTGCGAGGGGGAGGAACCAACGTCGCAACAGTAAAGAGGCGGTGGCGATTGCTCGTACTCAACTTCGATTCGATCTTGCGATAATTTCGAAACGTAGTTCGACGTGCTCAGATCCACCGGTGAGTCACCGGAAGCGGCATCCTGGATAGGGCCGAGCCGTTGTCTGGAATTTCCACGAAGGGCAATCTCGCCTCGCAGCTCCGTTTCCTGCCCCAACCATTTCTGTACTTGACGCCGGTTTATGCCAAATTTCCTGGCGGTCGCGCGTTGATTGCCCGCTACGCCGACGTCTCGATGAAAAGCGTCCAGAACGTCCAATTTGAATCGAAGAGAGAAAGATCGTCGACGAGCGAGGTCGTTGGACGAATTGTGGCTGCCGGAAGAACAGTCAAGAGGATCCATTTCGCTATCGGAGCAACTGATGCTGGATCTACCAGAGCTGGCCGCGCCTCGAGGGCTCGAGGGCAAAGAATATCCTTCTCGATCGTGTACGGGACTTACCGGACAGGAATCGGCAAGCGTTGAGGTAGCAGCAAGTGGTAATTGATAATCGACGATCGGCGGTGAAATATTCTCCAATTGAATCTCTTTCTTAATCGTCGCCCTACTACCGATTTCTGGTTCTTCGGCAACGTCTTCCGTTGCCTTTTCTTCGTGAATATGAGTCGTGGTAGTCGTCGTTTTCTTCGATTCACTCTGGTGTTGCTGCGATTGATGGTGCGGGATCGGTTTCTCGGAATCCCAGGTTGGTGACGCGTGTGCGTGCTCGTGCTCGTGCACATGCACGTGCGAACACGGACTTGTGGAAGTCTGTGAGGTGTCGAAGTGAACGGACGTGGTAAAGGTGGAGCTGGAGCTAGAGTTGGTACCGGTGCCGTTTGCTGTATACGAAACCGGCGAGAGTGGGACCCTTAAGACGCCGGGAGAATTCATCGATTCACACGGCCCTGACGTCGCCGCCGAGTCTGGGCTCGCTCGTTCCGTCTTTATCATGGACGGCGCTAGCAGCGATCCGTACGATGGTGATGAGGAAGAGGACGACGACGACGACGACGACGACGATGACGACGATGACAACGACGACAACGACAATGACGATGATTTTCCATCCATCGAAGAAGACGAATCAACATCTCCGTAATTTTGTTGAGATCGATGGTTTTGATGACGATGAGTATTATTCGGCGTCGATGAACGATGTCGAAGTAACGACGACGTCGTGACCGCGATTTCGTTACTCTCGTTACCAGTGTATCGGTGATGTTCCTGATGAAGAGGAGCTCGATACGCTGTCAGAGTCTGATATACTTTTGTCTCGTTGCGACCGTCGATAAAGTTCTCGCCTTCTCGTTGCCCGTCAGAATTTAAAACGTAGTACGTGGATTCTTCGTCCGCGCGTGTCTCCGAGTAACCACGAACGTCCATCGTTACCTGTACTCGATGATCTTCCGTTTCTCGACGAGAGTGACGTTGCTCCGAATTGCCGGCGGAATATTCTTGATAACCGAGACGAACGGACAAAACCGGCGCCGCAACCGTTCCAGATTGCGACGAATATTGGAGCGAAGGGGGTGAACCACCATGAGGAGGATGAGAAAGAAGAGGTGGGGGCCCTTGCTGTGTAGCCAGCTCGTCGCCGTGCAGTCTGGCGAGGCTGAGGTTCAAGGCCGGCGCTGCTGGAGTCACGGCAGGCCCCGTCGTGGCTTCCGTCACGGTACCGTCCGGCTTGGAAACACCCACGGGAGAAATCACCGTTGTCGAGATCACTCCGCTGTTGGTATTCCCAGTCTCGGCACAACTGTTTCTCAAATTATCCTCGCACTGTAACCACTTTTGTATCTGACGTCGATGAATCCCGTACTTCCTCGCGGTGGCTCGCTGATTTCCACGACAGTCGATGTCGTTTCTGTACGAATCGAGAACCTTGAGCTTGAAGGCCGGCGCGAATATTCGTCTGCTACCCATCACACCGACCGATTTCCTCGAGTTCTGTTGCTGCTGTTGCTGCTGTTTCTGATGCACCATTTTCACTGCTGTATTTCCCTCACCAAGCACCTCGCCGTGAGCCATAACGCCTGTTGTATTTAACGCACGGAACTCTTTCGTAGCGTGACGATTGACCGTCACGTCGAACACAGAAACGAGAACGACGATGACGATGACGACGACGATGAGCTTCGAAACCGGGCACTGCCAACGACGCACGGGGGTACCTTAACGCGTAACATTGCACGAAGTGGCCTGGCCGCGCCGCGCACAGAGTTCCTTTTAGGTCTTGGTAGATGCCGTAACTAATTTTCATCCCCACCACCAGCGACGACTGCGGCTGCTTCCCACTGAAACGATCTTTCCCTTCCCCTCTAACGTTTCAAGCTCGCTCTCTCACTCTTTTGTCCCTTGCCGCGTCGTTCCCCTTCACGTTGCCGCACTCTCGGTCTCTCACCGTGCTTCCCCCACTCCCGCGTCGAGCGTACTATCGTTCTTTCTTTCTCCTCCCTACGAACGATTGATTCTTCGTCCTTTTCTCTCACTATTCAGTAGGCTTCCCCCGACGTCCCGGCATCCCACTCGAGTAGCACAGGCGCTAGTCCACCGTCGCCGCTGGCCACCAGTCATTCTTCTTTCTTTGCGCCACCGACCTAACCTCCACCAACTTCTCTCTTTCTACTGCTCTCTCGTCATCCTGCCTGACTGCCCGCACCCGTAGGCGCCCCACCCGCCCTTGCCCCCCGTTACACCCTCTCGCCTTCCTCTCTCTCTTTCTCTCTTCTCCCCCTCCCCCGCCCCTTTCACACCTCAGCGCCGTAAAACTCCGCCATTTTGTGTGCTCACTTCCGTTAATGACGCGCGCGGGAAACGTCACGCCAGCGTGACGACGACATTCTCGGCGCCATGTTGTCTGCCGTGCTCGTCCGACCGCTTGCCTGCTTGCCTTCCTCTCGCCGTTCGCTCGCTCGCTGGCTCACCAACTCTGCCCGCGCTAGCCAGCATGGAGCCGTGATTTTTGCTCGCCTTTCCCCTCTCGCGACTCGACCGTGCCTTTTCTCGGCAATCGCTGCGCCACGCAGCATATGCTACACAGAATTTTCTTTCTATATCGGTGAACTGCGACCGAAACGAATTTCGAGCATCGAAAGAATATGAGGCACGCGTCTCGATTCGAGTTGAGCTACGATTATTTTCTCGCGCAGCTGAGATTAGGCGTGTTATCTAGGTTAAATCGTTGAAGACCTACGTCAGACGTCGTGTACGGTACAATTCTTGAAAGTTTGCTGTACCATGCGCCAACACGGCAACCATCGTCTAGGAAGTTTTATTGGCGTCGAATGAGGGGAAAGGCCGGTGAGGCAAGGGGATTTTGCCTTCCAGGAAAAGTGTCCGAGGCCGTGTCAACTATGCTGGTAGTGGTAGTCTCGTTAGGGTTGAGGAGTCGTTTCTATTATAGCTTGGTGGGGTAATACGATCTGTATTATTCCTCGTTGATTATTACGAACATTCAAGTCATTACCGAACGATGGTTAGGTATTCATAGTTTTCGTTGCGTTTTTATTTTTGGCGTTGGAATGTCCTTTCCTATTCACCTCTCGGTTATCTCTGAATGAGATTTCAAAGTGTGCATGCGGATCGCATATACGTAGTTTCTTGCATATACGTAGCGGAATGAGATCATGTTGTTTTTGTGGCGTGAGCCGACAGTTAATATGTTTAGCTTTAAGCGCGGTTGCCATGTCGCTGAGTTGCACGTAGGCCGCAGCAGAGACCTGCGAGCAATGACGCAAGCCGCGTGTTAGTATATACTTTGGAGAAACAAGAGTGAGCGAGACGGATCTCGCAGAGAAGAAACAAACCGAGGCCTCGTAAATTTCCACGATTCGTACCACCAGCAGAACTGAGAGACCCAACCAATTCTCTTGTCGTTCCACGAAGGAACACCCGACTACATTTCTAAGAATCTGCCTGGTTATTCTTGCTCCGTTGATCATTCCGATTCCGATTCCGAGTCGCTCCTAAATATGTATGCACACGTGACAATCGCTAACATCGGAACGTGCCTATTGACCTTCGCATAGTTTTGCGAGCGTCTCATCTTTTTGGTATTTTATACTAGTCGTTGAAAACAAAAGATTGCATTTCCTTTCCTTTTTTTTATTGAATGCTACGTCATTCTGCTTTGTTACTCGAATTTTTGCATTCGAACGACCGAGCTCTCTCTGTCTGTCGAGGAGAAGCGAGAGTAAGAACGATCGTTGGGAATAATATCGGTAAGAGGCATAGCAGTAGCAGACCGGCAGTCGCCTAAGTACGCCACGACGGCTGGCACGTTCATCGGATTTGTCCTTGGGACCGAAGGTAGGTGCAGCTCGAAGTCCGAGGACGTGGCAACGCAGCGGCCAGGCTCCCCCTCCTTTGTCCGCCGGCCGGTCTTGCCAGACAGGGTGTCGCCAGCTCGGTCGGCTGGGCCGTCCGGGTTGCTGCGAGGGGAAAGAGGAAACCAACAACCCGATGGTGTAAAGAGGCAAGGGGGATTTCTGTGGGTTAGTGTCTGTATAAGCGTGTGACGGAGCAGACATTAGGGGGGAAGGAGCACGTTATGAGAGGGAATCGTACCGAACAGATTATGAAGGCGAAACAGAGAAGAACGAGAATAGCAGAGAGAAGGGAAGAGGAGATCTTGTAGTTCGTAAAATCGAACGTGTGTGCGTGTTGTACGATCGGTCGTGGACCTACATTCACGCCATGGGTAGCCATATTTGAAAACTCGCGCCCCGCTGGAATGTAGCCTGCAAGGGGCCCCTTCGTTGATTCTCCCCTCTCTCTCTCTCTCTCTCTCTCTCTCTCTCTCTCTCTCTCTTCTTACTCAACGCCATCCTATGCGATTCTCCGATTCAAAGCTCGACACTCGACGACGATGCTCGAACGTCTACCTTCGTTTCCACTAATCCCTTTGGGGCCTTCTTCTGTCTTTCTCCTTCTCTCTCTCTCTCTCTCTTTCTCTCTCTTGCCTTCCTATGGTTTTCCCTTCTATTTGCCCTTCGCCCCACTCCTCTCATCTCTCGGCATTCCACGCTTGGCGCCCCAAATGGTCGCGTAACCAGAGACGCGCCTCTGGCCTGGCCTGGCTTAGCCTGGTCGCGCCAGACTTCTCGGCGCCCAAATGATGTACACCGACTATTCTCTTTCCCTCTTGCTCCACCATGTTCGTTTACTTCGGCTCCGTAGCCTTTGCTCTCTTTGCTCTCTTTTCAGGCATTCGTACACGTGTGCGTACACGTGCATATATGTACGTGCTTGCGTGCGACAGTCAAAGGATAGAATCGCTGGATCGAGAGTAAGAGCAAGCGAGACAAAATGCTTCTATTTACCATTGCTTCGACTTGCGACACCTCACCTTTGAATTCCGTGTACCACACTACTCATGTAGCCCTTACCTACCTTATTTGTGCGGCAAGAAACACGTGAGAATGCGAGCGTGAAAGAAAAGGGCGTAGCGGTCGCAATTTCTTGCAAAAAATGCACTAGACAGTTCTTTCCGTTATCCTTGTCTACGTTACGTGGATCTAGCAAACGCGAGACAGGTAGCCGCCTATGATATTTATTTTGATCAAACGATTGATCAAATTTTGTCTGAGGCTAGTCTAAAAGTGTTCAAGTTTTTCTGTTATTGGCCACTATCCAGTATGTATGTATATGTATATATCTCGAGCAAGCCTCGATTTTTTATTCAACTAATCATATCTTTATTCGTCTGTATAATTGAAATTGTGAAAAAAAGTCCACATACCGTATATCACGACACGTGATAGATAATATAGGATAATACGTATTTAGGTTTCTTTTTTGTTCCAGAACGAAGAGCGGCACTTGCTAAAATTGCAAGCCCGAGTGTATTTACGTACATGCTAACTGGGAGAGCGCCACACGTGCAACAGCGCATATAGTTCTATTGCTGCGTGTTAATATTTGCATTGCATACACACGTTATCCTCTGTGTGCGTATGTGTAAGCACGTACATGCCTATCTCAAATCTAATCGCATACAGATGAATTGTAAACTGCGTATTTATAAGAACTTGTATGCTCCAATGAATTTTCAATAGACTTTAAATTTTGAACAATTCGTGAAAATGAAATATAAATTCATCGTATCATCTTCCTCTACAGATAAAATCATCCTGATTATCGATACGTATATGTACATCGGTAAAACGTCATAGTTGGTTGCATCGTTCATTTGCCCACATACGAATGCAGAAATATACTTTTTCCGTGGGCGGTCGCACGATGGCGCCTACTCGTGCATATCTGTGTGCATACCTGTATGAATTCGAAGCTAACCTCGCAGAATGAAACTTTCGTTTCATCGACACTCTTCGAGTCGTTGCACAATCCGTTCGCTTTCTTTCATGTTATCACCAAGACAAAGAGGAATGGAATAAAAGAACAAAAGGAACATGTAAGTAAAAAGAAGAAACTTTATCGGGTGCGAATGCGACGCAAAGATCGAAGTGCACACGAGCAAAGTGAAATATAACAACGCCCACGGTTGCTACTCCATGAGGAACGTACACATGCTAACCTTTATCTTATCATCGACGAAGGCGTATCGAGGTTGACGAGGTTGCCATACGTTTGCTGTTGGTGTACAACGGTGAAAGACAACGACAATGCGGATGACCGACAATCGGAACGATTACTAGCATCTTTCATACTTGGTTTCCATGAAAACCTTGAATTCTAACACAGGATCGTTACGGGTGGTAACCTCCGACCTCAATGGTTACCGTATCGCGATTCACTTTATCGACTGAGCAATAAAAAATTAAAGGATTAAAAAGCCACGTATTATCCGTTATTCGTTTTATCGACATTCGAATGCTACTTTCGACCCAATTTTTCATTGAATTTCTTTTCTTCGTTCTTCCGATTTATTGATTTAATTTACTTGCTCGCGTTCGCATATTAATGTATACTAGAACTTTTTGTTTTTAATCAAACTAAACGGTTTCAAACGATTCATGTTATTTAATATTTTCAGATGCATTTTTAATTAACTGTTTTAGATTGTATGAAGCTAAATGCGGCCAATGATATTTGCCGCTGTTCAACTAATTCAATCGTTTCATTGGTATTACGAAATCTCTTTCAACGAGCGACTGAAAATATTTATCATTTCGATAACCGCTGTCTTCGAGGGTCGAGAGCAGTTAAGCTCGTTAAATTTGTTATCAATTAATGCTAGCCTTTGAAACCTCATTAAAGCGTGACTCGTCATCGATATATGATTCTGTAGAACATCTAGAACGCACTGGATTGAAATTCACGTGATAATTGCAATCAAGGATAAATATGTTTTTTATTTTACTCATTCAGCACTTAGTTAGTAAACTTTAAAAACTCGATTCACTCGTGTTAATGTTACAGAAATAATTTAAAAGTATGTTTTCGATGGATGCAACTGCAATCTATTTTTAAACAAAGATGCCGCAATTATTTTTATCTGCAATCAACTGACTATTCATCGACACTAACCGTATCAAGTGATTCATATTATTGCTTGTTGCAATAACAAACTCATACATGTGCATCTTTAATACGTGCTCCTACACAACTCGATTAATCACAAGTTCGATCCGATCATTGGCTGTCGACCAATTGTTTCAATTTGTTTACACGGTCGGTTGTTCAAGAATCCTGCGGCACATCAATCGACGTTTGTTAATAGCAATCTCAAATGCATATTGTAGGATATTTGAAATTTTACTAGAATTTGATGGATATATTTGCAACTTAATAATAATTTGCGTCATATGAACATTATCTATCAGTTGTCCAATAAAAATAAAGGGAAACAAGATTTTTTCGAGATTGATCTTCATTTAATTACTGAAACATTCGCGTACATAAATAGAGTACAAATACATGTGATAGTGATACGTGTACTTATGTGTGTTTGCATCTCAATACCTATTACGATCCAATGATATATACATTTGTTTTTTCCATTTCTATCCTTGAGCGTCGAGTCTTTTCGAAATGCATTTTTTTTTAATCACGTCGAAGACAATGGAGAATATCATAAAAGAAAAATTTGATGGATGCTAGCTAGTCCCTTCCTTCTTTTTTCACAAAGTAATCATTCGAAAATATTCGATGTGTTTTATATAAAAGTATGATTAATGTTGCTAATATCTTATGATTGACATACCTACATCATATTTTCGTTCTATCTAAATTATGTAAGATATGGATCATCGTGGGTTTTCTTAAAAATATATTTTCAACGTCAATTCTTCGCAAAAGTTTCGTTAAAATAATTCTTGTCATTTTGAAATAATGGCGTCAAACTGCTTCAACGATTAATAAGGATGACTGAATGGAAATATGATGTGATTCAAATACATGTACATCGATATTGGCATGTCTATTCGATATCGAAGATTAAAGTACCTGCACCTAATAATCCCAAAAGGATGGTTTTTCTCATAATTCATTTCGGGCGAACAGCATTTTCAACTTCAATTCCACGTTCAGTTCATGTTAGATTAATCTTCCAATTATTCCAATAACATTGAATTTACTTTTCATCTTTTTCTCTAATCGCGGTAATTATAATTTTTCAAATACCCGACGGCAGATTCCATGAAAACAAGGAAAACAGTTTCGAGCGTCTAAAAAACAAAAAGCGTTGGCATGACTTCAGCACGGAATCTATTAATCAAAGAATGCTGTTTCTCGGTCGTTTTCTTCGCTTCTTTTTCTATTTATGCTTACATGCTTCGTTTATTTTCTACCTTAAACGCTAGTTGTATCGTTAGAAACGTTAGTGAAGCGTGAACCTTTAAATATCGCTAGTCTTGATACGGGTTACAAGTAGATTTCCGCGGAATGAAAAATGTGGCTAGAGCTGTGTCGAACGATGCTTGATCTAGATATTTATCTCATTCCGCAGCAGCTCGAGGAGACCACGGAGAGTTATATCGAACGACGAAGGGGGAGAGATTTGTCGTTCGTTATAACTTATTCTCCTTGCAATCCGATCAGAAGTAGCTCGTAAGAGATAAGACAGTTAGCTGTGTCTAAAATGTCCTTAAATAAAGTGTACTTATTACAACGTTTGTCGTCAGGGTGTCCCTGGTTATTCTTAGAGAAAAGAACATAGTAATCACGGATCGGGGAACAATTGTTGTCCAATCGACCAAATGTATCATTTTGTTTTCTCGATACGAGGAACATGACGTCACAGAGATGTCCACGCGATGCGTAATTCCTTTATCTCCCATAGTTTCATCGTTCTCGAGAAAATGCACGTTCCGCGACTCGCTACGACATATTGCACGCAAGATCCCTGCGATCTTCGACCCATGCGATCTAAAAGATCCGATATACATACATGTACGATAAATATTATGTATAAATGAATGGAATATCAGATGTAAAACGCGTAAGTATAGAGATTGTCCGGTAAGATATTCTGAAGCCAAATCGTTGTCTACCTCTATCGTTGTCTACGAAATCCATCCTCAACTGTATGTAAAACTAATTCCCCCTTACGAGGCGTTGCACAAGCGACAAGCCTCGTGATTCTCGCCGCATCGTTTAATCGTCGTGTGAAATTATATTTAAAGTGTTCTATAATGAGTGTGCTTTTAACATCGTCAATGAAAAGATTTTTTTCAGAGCGTTGCATAAGCAACTTGTGACTTCCGCCATGTGCAAGCTCTCGATTTAACGGCGAACAATAGATCCTGTTTGATTTAGCATTCTTTTTTTAGAGATACTATTCGTTTCCCCTTTTTGATTTTTCTTCGCCTTTTAATATTTACGTGTATCGTTGGAAGTTCTTTGCCACGGGGCATCTGTATTCCGATTAATTCAATTGCCTCACGAATCGAATGCGACGTTTGGAATATCATGTTTCCGCTTAATGTAGTATGAATGATAAGTTCTCGATAGCAGGGGACGCATCGCGACAAACCCGAAAGCGCACCGCCTGAATGAAAAATGTATGTTCATAGTGTGGAAAAATGAATGTTTTTTTGCGCGGCACGGCTCTTCAATTCGTAGAAAAGCGTTTCGCGCGAAGCGTGAGTAATATCGGCGATGACGGCGCAAAATTGCAATTTTTCCATCCGTCTATTCGAACACGTGCCTCTCGGGTTCATCGGATGCAGTCTTATAACACGTACGATGTGTTACGCAAGGTGAGTTTGCACTTTATCCGTAGTTTTTCCTTGCCGCTTCTCTCGTCATCACTTGAGTTTGACGGGGAATTTTCAGGGCATCATTTTGCGGGGCGACAGCCATTTCTTCATGTAATAACAAAAGATTGTGGAAATATAGATAAGAACTAGCAGAGCGCACGTCACTCCTAGAACCAGCACCGAAGTCTTTGTTGGACAGGGCTCTACTATCGTTACTGTTTTATCTGAAAAGTAGAAATAAATATTTTTTGAAAATATTCTTCACAACATATTAATGTAATATTTCGAAGACAGAGGGAGAAATTTTTTATGCAATTACCGGCTTCGTTGAAATCTATGCTGGCGTCGTTCTTCAAGAAGTCTGACTGTTTCTCGTCGCCAAAGTCGAGAACAAGAATTTCCTGAGACAGCGTCATATCCTCTGCTTTTTCTTCCGTGGCATTCGTGATACTTCTTCGACGCCTCTTACCCCACGACTCGACCGATTCACGTCCCCACTCGCAGACAGCCTGTAATTAATCAACGTCTCTTCATTTTTCGTCGACCAGATATATAAATTATTTTCGTCCGTTCAATTACCGGTTCACATGGTCCCAAACAGTACTTGACATTGCATTGGAAGATCACACCGTAAGACTCGGTGAATCTGAATGCCTCGTAGATTGATTGAAGAGCGTTTCCGTCAGGTGTGAAACTCGGGAAGATTGACGGATCCACCGGACAACTGAAAATTAAACAATTGTTTGTTCAACTAAGTTTAATTATCGCGACGTTATTTTTTTCTCATAGACAAACTACGGACCCTTCGTCATCGATGATTTGGAAGGTACTTTTTGAATCCTTGGCCATGGCGACGCAACTTCTTGCAAAAATTCCGTAAGGAGCTACAGATCGAAACGAACGAAGATTAAGATCACGGTCGGCGTACGTTCACGCAACAACGATGAACACTCACTGTCTTCCGGGATTTCGATTCTGAACGTTAACTTGTCTCCGATACGGACAGTCTCCACTTCCCTGGATCTGCTGTCGAGGATACGAATTCTTGGTGGCGGGGCTTCCGGCGCGCTGGTGATACTTATCATTTCCGGGTCCCTGATAGGCATCATTCCGAATGTAATATTTTTCGACGACATGTCGTACGTGCATTTCACTTTGTAAATCTTGTCCGCCTTGGTCATCACCACGGAATGATGCTGAAGGACGACCGTGTTCGAGTAGATGCCAGTCTGAAAACCGTCACGCTGCCGTAGTGAACAAAGAGGATTTGAACAGGATTCGAGTGAATACGTGATCATTCGTAAGCGTGAACGCACGTATATAATATCAATTACTTACCACACTCTGAGTGTTACAGTCTTGCCCACTCATAGTCAGATCGAGCCTGAAGAGATCGCTATTAATCACATCGATGTTACAGGTCTCCGAACGGCCGAGAGCATAAATACGGCCATTAAATGGCTTGTTCGTACGAACCTGGACGGCAATTCGCGTGTCTTTGCAGTCGACGGATACTGCAATCATATTTCACGATTCTTTATTGTCAAGTTCACGATAACAGGGCTTGTTCCGAAGAAGTATTTCATATTTCTTTTCGATCAATTAGCAGCACACTCTTTAGCGAATGTCTGTTTTAATATATACGTACCGTCGTAACAGGTACCAGTTTTATCGCAGTTTATGTCATTCCTCGTCAGGTTATTTATGGTGGGGTCTTCCGTGGTCTCGAAGACGACTGGCGGGTCCGCTAATGGTCCAGTACCCTCTAACGATCAATTTGAATGTATGGAATGACGAGTTCGATCGTACAACGGAAGAAATATAATGGAAATTTGAAATGTCGCTCTTACTTTCGCAATAATTCTCGAAGTAAGTTCCAACTCTCTCGCCGTTATCGATCAATGGTCGTTCCGCATTGAGGTACGTCGAAGGGCCATCGGGAAGCGTCCAATGATCCAGATGGAATAGCTGACAATTGTAAGCAGATCCTTGAGGAGCGCCACGATAGAGGAAAGATCTACAAAGGAACTCGTTCTCGATCTCGCAAGCCAACCTACACGCGGATTCGCTTTGAACCTGCAGTTCTTTGTCCGTGTAATAGTGTAATCCCGCATATTGAGCAACCTTATCGTCGGCCACGCCGATTCGTGGCATTTGAAAGTTTCTTTGGGACTTGCACGCCTCTTTCCCTGGAAATGACAACTTCTTAAGTAATTTTTTTTTTTTTTTTTTATATCGAATAGTATACCTTCGTGGCGTACGAATATCTACCGTACCTTTTAAGCACAGATTTTCGAAATAATCCACGCCCTGGGCGTCCACGAATTGCACGTATTGGCCAGTCGTTCTCCGATCGGAATCGCTCAAATGACATTGCAAAGTTACGTAGTTGTATTCGACGGAACGACAGGTGAAACGGTGTTCGTTGAGGCAAGCCGCTAGGCAAGCTTCCTTCGTCGATGTGTAGATCAAAGCATTGTCTAGACCACGAATCATCTTGTTAGGAACACGTTCGAAGGACCATGGTCGCAGACAGACGTTCTCTGAAAAAGAAAAACCAAGAAAAAATATTGACAATAGAAGAAAAAACAGTAAGAACATTTCAATTGTAAGAAGCCTATACAATTCTGACCATTCAATTCTGCTAAAAGAAAAAGAGAAAAACAATTCAAACGAAACAGAGATTGTCTCACATCTTATTGTCATTGTATTGACGATGATTTTTTTTATGTCATGTAAAATGTTTTTGTTTGTAGAGAGGTAAAACACGTGGGTACGCCTGACCGCAGACACAACGTTTGCACACCTGACGAAGCATATACAGGCTGCAGAGAATGCTTTCTTATGTAACTCTCGCCTGTGCCACATGAGTCTCATACACCGACACCTGTAGCCACACGAGGGAGGATCGATATAACAACGAAATCTTCTAATTTCGCATCTTCTCGACGTTGCAACATCTCGAATTTCAAGAATTCTACTAATAAAACGTCCACGATATAAATAAGATTCCTACGTACATTCCATCTGTCTTCCGAGCTGTTTTCTGTAAGTCAAGGTCGTTCCAAGGTCATTCTATTTTAACACCAAAACGACCATCACGTCCTGTACAGTGCAGGATGAAACGACGTGCCAGTGAAATATGATAATTCGCATTCGCCCGAGAGGAAAGCGCGGCTGCGTGAAGAAAAAAAAAAAAAAAAAAAAAAAAAGAGAAACGGAAAGAAAGAATGCGAAGTGTATGCTCGCGGCACGGATCGTCGATCGTGGAAACAGTTATGCTATATCCGGCCGGTCCGAGGAAGTGTGGCGAATTTCTCGGTTGGCGGCTGATCACGCGAGCGTGACGGCCGCGAGACGAGCCACGGGTTTGAAGCGCGCGAGCGCGCGTCACCTCGGTGCCAAAATCACGAGCGAACATGTGACTTGGCATGTGTCGAGCGCGATCTGCCACTTCGTGACGCACGGCCGCGCGACTTTGCAGCCGAGAAACGAGAATACATTTCATCGGGGAGCGGACGATCGTTCCAATTTCTTTTGTTCCGCCCTCGAAACCGGCGCTAATGTCGGCGAACACCGGGAACCGATGCCAACGAACCGACCGTGTCACTCGATGATTCACCGCGGTCGTGCGAATTCCTCATCTCGTACGACCACAGAAATACTCCATTCGATACATCAGTCTGATTTGTTCAATAACAATATTCTGTGAAACACTAACTACATTCTGTAATTGTTTTCGTTTTTTTTTTTTTTTTTTTTTTTTTTTTTTTTTTTAATATTACGTCTCTTTTCCCTGATTTATTTATTTGTCTTATTTTCGAGAGTTAAATTCCAACTCTGAATATTGCGATCGGAATCTTTAAAAATACGCTGGCCGTTTTGTTTTCAGTTTCGTACTATTTTCGGACGCCTCGAACACGCGAATGACGGCGGGGACGAAGAAACTGGCTGGTGATTTTTATCCGCTGGAAATATTTTGTTATACAGATTGAACCGGCGTTGAACCCTGTCACCTGTGACTCATGCAAGTCCGCTAAAATTAATCGTTGTCGTGGGCTGCTTTATTTTCTAGATTAATTAAATGTCGAGGCACGGGATAGAGCTTGTTGCGTAAAATTTTGCACGAGCCAATTGCTGACGTTCGAGTATCTGTCGTCGAGAGGCCGATCGCCCGTGCAAATTCTTAACGCGTTGAGACCTCGATGATGGAGGTCTGTTTCGTCTGTTCCCAGTTATTTTAAGAGAGGAGAGATTTTGAATAGAAGTTGCCAACTGAAAAACACATCGCTTCTCCTTCATTTCGCGACTTTACTTTTCGTATTCTTTGCAGATTTAATAGAGACTACGTCAGAAACATGAATATTCTCTTGAGATGTTACAAATGAAATTGAATTTTTGACAGACAAATTTATGTAGGCAAAAAACAAAAATCCAATCAAATGTAAAAAATAAAAAATTGTTAAGATAATATATTATACAGTAAAACCCAACGTATATGAAGAAATATATGAAATATCCAAAATAAAGTCCAACATAGAGTTGAATATGTAACAGCAAACGAGACCAAGTGAATTTACATGAATATTCGTATCCTGTTCATTATGTTATTCGGTCAAGAGAGTAACGAAAGTGTTCTACGGTCGATCAGGCGCCTGGACGAGAAGCAATCGTGCTTTTCGAGGAATCGGCAACCTTCTCCAAAGTCCTTTTTGTTATCTTTCGAAACGTGAGACAGGTCAAACCGCGGGTGTCCCCGAAGGTGTCTAACGACTCGTAGCTGCGAGTTTTGCGATTGTGCTGAGATAGTTGGAAGGCTCGAAGGTACCAGCAGGCTCGTTAAACCAATATTAGGCGTTTCTTGGGATATTTTCGACACCTTCGGCGAAGGTTCTGACCTGTTTACAGCGGCGACCGTACTTAAAGTATTTTTTCACATCGCCTGAAAGGTACCAGTAGATCTTTTATTGTTTGCTGCCATCCGGACTACCCTCTTTGGCAAAACGTACTTCTCCCTGTCAGTGGGAAATCCGAAACTGCCTGCGTTCACGGGGGATGGGACTTTTGTCTAGAGGTCTAAAGGTTTGGTGGCTTCTTCACGTTCATTTCTTGAACATAATAGGTGATGCACAAATGTTTTGTGTATTTAGATATCGGAGAGAAGTTTCACTAAAATTTAGCTTTGCTGATACTCTTTATTAAAGAAATGGAAAGCAACGTAGACTCTTAGTTTTTAAATTTCTTCTTAAATTCTGTTTCTAGATTACTTTAAAATTTATTCAAAACGTGGGTAAAATAATAAGATTATGCATGTTAAAAAACAAAAGCAAAGGAAGAAAAAAATAATTTAGTTGTATATGTATATGTATTATGAAAATAAATCATTCAGGAACTTGGACAAATGCGAAGGTAATATGGCTCCTTAACAAAAATCATAAAAACTATTACTTTCGTAACAATCAAAAGTGAATCAACAAGCTAAATTCTATTTCTTATAAACAAACATTTATTATCTTTTAACTACTGTTTATATTCATTATGTATTTATTATGCAATTCACAAATTTAATTAATTTTATTCAATTTAATTTATTTTATGGAATAATATTTGTTAAAAAATATATATAAATATATATTGTATCGATTTTATGAAAAGATTTACAAAAAATCGATGTTTAAAATGTCTTGATTTATAAAGAATCTCGATGTGAAAATAAGTCTTGAGGCTTATATCTTACACTTATTTTTGATTTGAAGCTTTTATTTTTAGGAGACATATTACTCTTTATTATGAGTCAATATATCAATATGCATAGGTTTAGAAATTTCTTGTTAGACATTTTTCTAGAAAAGCTTGCTAGTAACCGAGAGCCAGGCTATAACTCTATTTTCGTTGAAAGTAGTAAAAATATTGTGAAGGAAAATTTCACATTCTCTAAAAAACTTTATGGTCGTGTAATGCATGTAAAATGCGATTTGCAAAGTGCAATTGTATTGTTGAAATGAATTTACGATTTTTTCCATGAACTGATTCCTAGTGTTGCTCCGAATGAAAAAGATTTAGAGCTAGATGTCGAAAAAATTAATATTTCTTAAGATACTTCAAATTTCATACAAGGCGATTTTAAGTGAAAAAATCAATATATGTACATTATTTTTAGTGTAATGATGAAAAAGATATTCAGAACAAAGAATTGCACTAGTTTAAAGGGTGGTAAAAGAATTGACGATGGTAGAATTTTTTTCAAGGTCAAAACAAGGTCAGAACAATTTGTAACATTTTAAAATCATTGATGATTTTTTAAATAAACTTTATATTTTTATTTATACAATTTTAATAATCGTTTTGTTCCGATTTGAAGAAATTTGTTCCGATTTGAAGAAATTTAAACTGATATTTTTTGACTATATCAAACTATTATTATTGGTTCGTATATTTATAAAATGAATATCATGTTATGATATCTGTTTAAATTGTTTTATTATTATTGCAGAAAGTACGTGTAATTAAGGATAAATATAATATAATTTTGAATCTTGTATAAAATATAAAGTATTTCAAGAATTATAAATTATTAATCATTAAGATTAATATTCTTTTCAATATTGAAATTCGTCGAAAAGAAATTCAGAGTTCCATTTAAAAAATAATGCAACTGGAATTGTAAAATTTCTTTGTAGCAAAGAAATTTTATAAAAAATCTCACTAGACGATGATAGAATTTCTTAAACAATAAAAGCTTTTCCTTTAGAATTTTTTTCTATTTTCGATAGGAATAGAGTTGTAGCTCATGTAATAGATTTACCTTGTATTTAAATAATGATTTATCTTTTTTTAAATAATGATTCTACAAGCCTTTTATCAGACATATCAATATTCTTTAATTTTTTAATTAACAAGAAATACAATATATCAATTTCTTTAATTTGCAAGAAATATTTCTTTACAAGCAGGATGAAAAATTTTTATTTTATAGGATAGTGTTTATATTTAGTAAAGAGAGACTATGACACTATACTGCTAAATATATCTGTAATAAATTTCTTTCTTTTTTCAACTCCTCTTTTTACACTAGATTCAGTGGCGGCTTGTACATAGCACTGCGGAACTACATTATCAACAATTCTATATAATTTTCCTATTTTGTATAAAAAATAATAAAAAATTTTATATTAATAGCGTTTAAATATATTTTAAATTATATAATTAAAAATATATTTTTATATATATTTTAAATATATTTTTATATATATTTTAAATATATTTTTATATATATTTTAAATATATTTTTATATATATATTAAATATATTTTAAATATATATTTAAAAGTTGTAGCACTCACATGATTTCAGTAGAAGCCACATGCCGCCACTGGTTAGATTATTTCAGATTACGATAGAGAAATTGAAATTTGAAAAAGACTGAGTATACGAGATCAGGCAAAGGTAAATTATTGTTTCCACGATACTGAGTTAGGCTAAAATGCAACGCTATTGACTATATATTATACTCGATATCGAATATATAATAAACTTATATTATCGAATATATAATAAACTTTCTCCGCCTGTCGTTGCTACCAGCGTGCAATTATTTGCACGTCTACCTGCTTCCTTCACGTCCCGCGTCCCGCGTCACGCGTCTTTGCTACTAGCTCTTACACCTGGATTTCCTGACTGTTTCCTTTGGCAATGCCGCCTAAATTGCAGGATTTTTCTCTAACCTGCTAGCTAGTCGTCCAGCTGGCCTCTTTTATTTTCTCACCGATCTCTCGGTATGAGATAAAAGGTTAGCCAAGGGCTAACTATTAACATTCATTATCCCAGTCTTGCTGGTGGCTGGCAAATTGCCAGTGGCAATATTAAATTCTCAAGGTTGATTCTTGTAAATAGGTGCATGACCCTCGAAAAAGAAGCTCCTAATAGCGTTTACCGGCAGTTCCATTCGACTATGTGGCACGGTTGATGTTCGATCGATCTCGCGTTACAAAGTTTCGAAGCATGTTCTCGGCCAGGACTGCTCACCTGATCTGATCTGCAGCTTCGTCATGTAGTACATGTTCGCGGCTCTCTGCGGCTGTGCCGCTGGATTCGTTGCCGCTGTCTCGTTCTGCAGCTGGCACAGGGTGTCTTGCATCGGCGCCAAAGGATTTACGACGAACGAGAACGCCGCCGCCTGACACTCGGCCTCTTCGCGGCACCAACCCTGACACTCGTATAAAGACAGGTTCCTTACACTGTAGTACGTCGTTCCGCGGTAATCGTAGTCTGTCAGCTTCTCGAACGCTGTCCTAGCTGAAACGTGAATGCGATTCCTTTGAGAACATTGCAAAGAACGGCGTAACTGGAATTACACGTTTACAGGTGGTTCTGAAGCATCTCGTTCGTTACATTCAAGGGGATAAAATGTACGGATGTACTTACCCAGAGCAGCGTGAGCGACGGTGACGAAAGCTAACAGCGTGACGCCAGCGACCACGGTCCCCATCGTGCCGATCGCAGACGAACCCATCTGGAACGGAAGCAATGGATATCGGTTAGAAGCGCAATTACCCCCTCGCGTTCAGCGTCTCATATTCGTCTTTCGTTCTCAAGAAAGGCTCAACTCGTGTCGTTTAATGAATGTTACGCGTATCTAAAATACGTTTACCAAGTGAAGTTCCGTTGCGTTTTTTCGCTACTATCGGGAACCAAGAGATAGCGCGAATTTGAAATTTCTTTACCAATATAATAATAAAACAACGTACAAGCTATGCAGTTTTGTTTCACGATCTTCGTATTCGAGCATGTTTTCTTTTATATTTATAATCTAATTAGAGAGGCGAAAGATAACAGGTTTCTCGGTAACTCGTTTTCCAAGGGAGGACGCGCGATGTTCGTAAATCAATCCAGCGAAGCGAGGAATAAATCGTTGGAAGTCGATAGGTGTAACTGGTCGTCGAGCAAGTCCTCTCATAAAAGTGTTAAGAGACGAAGCCAGCTCGAGGAAGTCGTTCAAGATTGCCAGCGTTGGTCGAGTAATTCGCCAGTGCAAGCTGAAAGCACGCAAGTCACCGGCTTTCCGTATACGTTTTGCTTATGTTTCAACTGACTACTTCCTGGATTTCTTCTTTCCCTCGCTTTTTGCTCCCTTTCCACCTTCCTATTTCTTCTCGCCGGTATCTACTCAGCTTCTCCTATGCCCGTTCTCCTCGTTCATCCCTACGTTTCTCTTTCTTCATCTTCGAGCGAGGATGGAGCGCGTTCGCGATCGTTCGCCTCCTCCTTCCACACTCGCTCCTCGTTTTTCCTCCCGGTCGATTGAGCGATCCAACGATACTTACAGCCGTGTAAGGCTCGCTATTTCGCAGGTTTGTTCTAGCTTCTTCTTCGTCTTCTTCTTCCTCCAGGATCTACAGAATCCTACCCGAGAGCGCGTAAATCCTGCTTCGAGACCGGTCGTTACGTCGATCGCCATTCATTTTCGTTTTCTGCGCGTTTGCCACGTCCTTCCAAAATCAGCCTTCCCTCCCCCGACCGATCGTTCGAAACGTGATTATTCCCTCGAGCAGCTAGGTTCGTTCACCTGTGGTTTGTCCGTTGGTTATCTTCGATTCGAAGCGCGATCGCGCGAGTTCTTCGTACGTCGTTTGCCCTCGCTAAAATTCAAAGGACTCGCAACTCGGTACACACGGTTCAGTGGCAGCACGTAAATGATGCGAGATTGCTCGAACTGAAATGTGATACACACACACATATATACACATGTGTATGTACACATACGTAATGCGATAACGGCGCGTCAGGCCTCCGGAGGATGGAGTCTAGGCTTCGGGGTTTCGTAGCCTCGGTTCGAGGTCATCGAGCCTGGAATAGCCGGGGACCGTGTATAACAGAGGAGGAGAACTTTGTCGTGGCTTGCACCGAGGTCAAAGGTTCAGCCTGGATCCTTGCCTTCCCCTCTTCTTCGTTTCTTTCTTGTTTCCTTTCCCCAGACAACGGGTTTTGAACTTCGAAGGACCCGATTTCAATCTGTTCGCTATATGTTTTAGGTTATGGTGCAATGAATGCGTATTTTATTGTTCCGTTGAATGGAACGTCTGGGAGATTGAAATACACACATACAGAAGAGAGAGAGAGAGAGAGAGAGAAAGAGAGAGAGAGAGAGAGAGAGAGAGAGAGAGAGAGACACATTTACAAGAATTCATATATAGATATATATTTGATCGTTCAGAACGAAAAACGAATCTAGGCCTGACGATTGATATATGTAAAAGATGCTTGAAAAGTGTTCATCGTTCGCCCAGAATGCATCAACCTAACTTCTTGCGCTGGAATAACGTGCCACTCACGTCAAGAATTGTTTGTCCCAAAATTGCAATATTTTCTCAATTTTAAGTATATTTAAATAAGCAAAACAAATAATTTATTACTTCTCAATAACTTTCTATCCAGTAATATCATACTGACGAGTTCGAAAAGAAAACGACGAATTATTGTATACGGTTCGGTCACTCGTTATGGTCCGCAATCAGTTGCCAGCGCAACTGGTTAACCTCTTGATGTGCCACGTACGTCAAGAATTTTTTTGAATTTGAAAATTGCGACATTTTCTCAGTTTCTAAGTATATTGAAGTATAACCAAAAATAAATAATAATATTTAATATTTAATATTTAATATTAATTTTAATATTAATATTTTTAATATTTTTAATTTTAATATTAATATTTTTAATATTAATTTTAATATTAATATTTTTAATATTAATTTTAATATTTAATATTATTATATTTAATATTTATTATTATATTATTTTTAATATTTAATATTATATTATATTTAATATTTATTATTATATTATTTTTAATATTTAATATTATATTATATTTAATATTATTGAAGTATAACCTAGGCAAAATAAGTAATAATAATTCTCAGTAATTTCTATCCAGTGATATCATACCGACGAGTTTAAAAAAGAAAGCGACGAATTATTGTACACGGTTTGGTCACTCGTCATGGTCCGCAATCAGTTAACCAGCGCAAGTGGTTAATGTACTTAAGATTCGCAGGTATTTGATTTTTCAGATTCCTTCCTGAATTTTGTGATAAAGTCGCAAGTCGGTGTACTCGCTAACAGTAAGTGTTTCACTTGACGGACAGGTTGATGCACTGTTACGAAGATTAATGATCTCATTGCGGTTGCCACGAAAGAAATCGGGAGAAGAAGCGCGGACTTCTTCCGGCGCGGCGCGGCGGTTAGTTACCGAGTCATCTGAGAACATTGGGTTTTCTAGGAACTTCGGTATCGAGGGAACGCGGCACTTTATCGCGTTACTGCCCGGCACTGCATTACTTTCTTCCCAGGGACGGGATATGCTACTAACGTCGCACATGTTATGCGAGACGTCATTTTTTGAATGACCGGGATTTTCCTCAACGTGTGAGACTTGTGTCTCCAATTTCCTCGCAGAAAGAGAAAGTTCATTGAGTTTAAGAGAATGCAGTAAAACTGTATATTGAAACTTTATTTTTTAAAGTGTCATTATTTTGTTTAATGAAAATGATATTTTTAAATGGGATACTTTCTTAATCCTCGTCCATCTCTTATACGCATTTGGATAAAACTTTCCTTATTATTTCGTATTTATTGTTAATGAAAAGAATTTCTTGTCTTTCTTGTCTTTTATAAATATAGATGCAGAATTGTAGATAAATACAGGTACAAATAACAAAATATGCCACTAGAGATGGAAATGATATTTATTTTTAAAATCCTTCTAATTATTATACTACAATTATGTATTCAATGCTTTTAGAAGATGTACATACACATTTGCAGTTTTGAATATAGTAGAAATCCGAAACAAATGATCATGATCAACGTTAGACAAAACTGGAAAAAATAAGATCATGACATGAAATTGAACATCCATGTCTGTAGGATTTGTGTGAATCTTACATACATTTGAATAGGATGTTGGACTACTTACTGGATTCAATAAAAGAATGTACAAATTTAAATATTTAACTTTTCATTATGGGTGTTAATTTTTACCATTGTATCAAACTGATGCTAAGGGACAAATTAAGTTTAAAAAATGAGACGGATGAAGATCAAGTTTGACAATGATTCAGCTGTATGTTTAAAAATTTTCTTTCAAAAATTTTCCTAATTTCTTTGAAACTTTTATAATATTTATCAGACAACATGATTCAGTATATTTTACATTTCTTTTTTATACTTATTTCATACATACTTATCTAAAAGCAAACTTTTATTGAAGAAAATCTTCTTTTATTGAAAATTCTAGTTCTTTTAGGTCAGAGACTGAAAACCGAAATATTTTAAGGTTTAGGTATTATACCGGTAAACTGAAACCGAAATATTGTAGGTTTAGGTATTATACCGATAAACTGAAACCGAAATATTGTGAGGTTTAGGTATTATATCGGTATTTGGGAAATCGGTTTTAATACCGGTATATATCGGTATTTGGGAAATCGGTTTTAATACCGATATATACCGGTATGGTACCACTTTACTGACGAAAACCCATTTTTCATTTTCTACGTACAGTGACTCTTATTAATATTCGGACATCATGCTATTCAAAATATTGTTGTGGATTTCGATTGTTTATAATAGTAAATTTGGATTAATTTTTTAATAATATAATAAAACATTCATTATAGTTTATAGTAACAAATTTTATTTATTTATTGCACATACTTTTCTTAATATCAAACNCAAATTTACTATACAGCTTTATGAAAACATTTAATCATTGTCTCCTTTTCCTTTTCTAATATATTACTATTTTATTTACCGATATTATATCGGATTCATACCGGTATTGTACCGGATTCATACCGGTATTATACCGAAACACATCTACCGACTTAACATCGGTATTCGCAACATAAATATTTCGGTTTTATCAAACCGGTATCGAATAGTAACCTAAAAATACCGGTATTTTTCCGGTATCCGTAATACCGATTCGGTCTCTGTTTTAGGTTATTTTAATGTATAATATTTGAAGGGAAAAATATAATTACAAATCTTTTTATTATGTTACTACTAATTATATTTATTTTAAAATTGTACAATTATTTATTATTTTTTATTATTAGTAACGCACAGACATTAGAGTTATATAACAATTGATAAAAGAAGAAGAAAAGAAACAGGAATTGAACATTTAGATTTATAAATCGAGAAGAGATCAATCGATCAGAAATCTCATTTGCATAATTACACACTAAATCTAAGATTACTCATGAAAAAGTCGACCGGAAGACAAGAATATTACGCAAGAAACGCAAATGTGTGTAGTTTATGAGCTGGGAAAACGGCAAGTCGTTAATGAGATTATTGATAACTCTGAATAAAAAAAGAATATCAACAACTTTTTATCGCTTGTTCAGCGTGAGAATATTTATGCTACGAAAAAGATACGTTTGACAACTAGTTCTAAAAGCACATGATGTGAATCGTAGGAATTTATTTGCATTACTAAATTTATTA